CTGCACCGACACCAATCATGTTCGGGTTCTGGGGCAGGAATAGCAAAGTAAACGATAAACCCGTTGACTGTTCCATCGCTAGTCTCTTCGACACTGCATATGTTCCCCAGAAATTGCAGTCGAGCCAACTGCTTTGGGATTTTTACAACCAACAGATCGACGTTACATTCTCGCTAATTGGTGGGACGCTTGAGGGCTGGGACCAACATGTCGGCGGCATGCGTCGTGAGAGGATGCACATCGATCACTGTATGCAGTCATCCGCACCAACATATCCAGGAACCGGCTAACCAAAGATTGCAGTCTTCCCGGCCAAATCCACCCGTGCCGTGCCATACCTATCAGCGCCTTGGCGGCCGCCTCTTTCGGCCATGGAGCGGATACGCCGATTCTTCTTCTACATCAAAGAGCTTGACGTCGACACCAAGGGTCGATACATTGACGTTGCGCCTTGGCCCGAGTACGTTGACGACGATGGTGTGTTGCACTTCCGCGACACTGGTAGACCAGAGTCGGAGAAGATAAAGCAGATGGTGGTGAAGCCTGATGTTATTCTATTTGCAACTGGCTACACCCGCCGCTTCCCTTTCCTCGATAAGAGCTATGGCACACCCGACACAGCCGATGTACGAGCCATCTACCACAGCAGCGATGTATCAGTAGGGTTTATTGGCTTCGTGCGGCCGAATTTGGGTAAGTCCTTTCACCACAGATGTTCCCTACGAATGTTGCTTTTAACATAACTTCCCAGGTGCAATCCCCACCCTCGCCGAGATGCAGACCCAATACTGGACCCTTCAACTACTCAGATCCAAGTATCCTAACGTCCCTGGCCTAACAACACCGTCGAAAGGACTCACTTTGGATTCGAACGCCCTACCCGGCTACGATATCGACTGGAAACTCCACCCTCGATGTGGCAGAGACCCGTGGGCCGAAAAGCGCGGTGTCGACCACGAGAGCTACGTATACCAGCTAGCCCTCGACATGGGCTCAGCACCACGATTCAGCTATGTCTACTCCAAGGGTTTCAAGGCCTTGTACACTTGGGCTATGGGTAGCAACTTCAATGCAAAGTTCCGCCTTGTGGGGCCCTGGAAGAACGAGGAGGAGTCGCTGCGCATCATTCGTGGCGAGCTTTACGACATCGTCAAGCGGTCTGGCGGTATGCTATACATGATCGCCAACACCTTGATACCCTTTTTCTTGTTCGGCACGATGAGCATGGCCATCCATACGTGGGAGTGGACCAAGAGCTTGGTCCACCCATGGACGCGGAAGGCGGGTCAAATACGCCTCCTCGAGTCTTAATAACGATTTAACGACCATTTTCCTTAAAGTTTAGATTTTCTACTTCATAAGACCAGCGACAAGAAAGATTTTCATTCGAGACGAGATAACTCATAGTCGTAATTAGGTATTAGTACACAATCACAGAGAATATGTGCGAAGTTGTTTGTCAGCCCATGCAAGCATGGTATCCACATTACACCCGTAGTGCACTTATCTCCATGAGCTGAACCTCCACAGATTGAGCCTGAGTTCCAGCAATATACACAATGCACCAAGGTTCGATCAGGTCTATCGCCTCAAGAGCCATCCATCGTATGATGTCGATGGGTATCGCGTTTCAGGTTCCTTCTCGGGTGCCGTTGAACTTGATGGGAGATTGGCCAGCTTCTGTATGATTCTCCCATCCAAGTTAGGATCGGGACCTCTGTAATTGTACACTGACGCGTTGAACTCGGGAACTAGACGAGGCCTGCAGGCGAAGAGCATCTTATAAAGCTGGTTATCTTGCCACTTTCCGAAGGCCGCGGACAACACCAGGTCAAAGTATCGTCCGAACGGGGCAAATTGAAGGATGTGGTTGTAAAAGTCGCCATCGCCAGTATTTTTCCCTTCCAAAATACTGCGTTTAAGCCCATCTAGCTCATGGTAGAGCGTGTTCTTCGGTATCACAAGTCCCGAGGGGTCATGTGCGTCGATGCACTCCAGCATCCACTTGAAGACAAGATCGCTCAAGACCTCGTTCGGTTTGATCGCCTTGCTAGACCAAGCCCACGCCGGCAGAAGACTCTCGAGTCGCTGCGGCAGCACGCCCCTCACAATCTTGAAACTTTGTCGACAGATATCGTAGTGCGTGCCTGGGAACCAACGCTCCGTAATGCCGTACGACGGTCCATACTCTGTGTCGCGGGAAATCAGACACGGCTGGTAAGCGTACAGGCGGTCGTGTAGCGAGACGGCGTGGTAGACTTCGGAGACGACGCTTGATACGTGGTGGTCATGCAACTTGGGCCAGTCAACGCCGACCGCGCCCGCGAACTCTGGGATGCCGCGTTCCCCGACCGAGTCGAAAAGCCCCATGAATCGAATCGGCGATTCGACGACGTCTCCATCTCCGATCAACGCCCAGCTGTGCTTCCTTCTAAAGATCCGCGATTGCTCTGACTTTGGCGTGTTGGCTTCTGACGAACATCGGTAGATGCGATAGACCTCCTGGCAGAGTTGGTGTGTCTTGTCAACATCAACATCCCCGTTCAGACCGTATACTGGCTTCACTATCCCGCAATTATTGATCATGCCCGCGACGGAGCGGACGATAAAGGCTCCTTTCGAAACACCAAACATCCATATTTCGGTTTCTTGTGGGGTGTAGCCGTGAACTAGGTACTCGTAGGTATCTATGCATTGCTGCTCGATGTCTTGGACGTTGAGACCGTGAATTACATGGCTTGAAGGCCTCGGTTAGCCATATTCTCTTCAAGAGGATCGTCAAGAAAGGGTCTTCTACTCCATGAACGTGCTACCTACGGGCACGCTGTTGACATAATGGGCCTTTCCTGTAGGGTGGAGGCGTGCGAAGTCATCGTCTCTAGGCAGCCCAGATTCTCCCCACACCAAATTTGCCAGCCGTTGTACGTTGGACTCTGAGTTGGCTTCTCGACCAGTCCATACTCCATCTGATAACACTATCAGCGGATTCTTCGCCGGGCCTCGGTATGACATGATGCTGTGGTTTGGCGATAGCTCGATAATTATTGTCGAAGGAAGCTGTGCTAAAGTATTTGTGTGTGTGAATGCAGACTGTCAAAGATTAGCAAACTAACGAAAAGTCAGGAATCAGCTGCTTTTGTTGCATACGACCTCGAGGCGGAGGTTGTGGAATGCGTGCTGTTATTTGGACCTCAGGCAATATCATAACAGTTGGATTGGTGGTGTTTTGCATTCCATGGTGGAAACTTGAATGGCCCCCAAACCTGTTTAGACCACCACGTGGCGACCTGGATCAAGATATTGGGCGAAGGCATCAATAAGAACACATGGCTTTTGTCAGTACTACATGCATATGCTAGTGAAGAATTCGATTGAGGTATAAAGTTCGTCTTTACGACTGCCCAGTGGCTACATTGACAAACCATACTGTTACCAAAGGTTACAATCAAACAAGAAACAAGGTCTGAACCCTCGACCACCCAGTCTCAAGGTCTTGCGCAACATAGGCCGCGTCAAATCGCAAAACCGCTAATTTCTACGAACAGCAATTGAGAAGATCTGACAACCCTTTACTCACTGCTACGGGTCTTGTTCCGCTGTTCTTATACCGCGAAATTAGTCAGATACCGGCAACCGGAAGCTTCAGGCTCAGGCCGGCTGGAAACCCTCGACGGCCTTTCGGGCTACCTAGATGAGTATGTCTCAGTTTCCGTGCTCTGGAATGCCGATCACTTGATCGCAATTTGACATTGGCACTTTCCAGATTTGGCCGAAGATCTTCTCATCTCCCGGGAATAATACGAGTGAATATGCCGCAATCCTTGTCTCCGGTGATATGCACGAGTCCCATCTGGATTAAGATCCACTCCCCAACCCAACTGGGCGCAGGCTCATGTTCCTCCAGTCGCCTTCCATGATTTCGCTCCCAATCATCACACCAATTTCGAGGAATTGCAACATGTCCATGTGCTTTGTGGCTCGCTAGTAGCCCTGAGAGCTTACCGTGGATTCCAGGAGTACTTAACTAGCTGGGTAGACTTTGCGACTCTGTGAGGACCCAGTCAGATCTGTTTGCGGATCTTAGTGGATGCTGCAGGCTCACCAGTCACCAGTCATAGGGCGCTTGGTCTAGGGGTATGATTTTCGCTTCGCATCTCATTTCTCTCCTCCTAAGGATGTGAATAATTGCGCTTGCTTGTGAAAGGTCGTGGGTTCGATTCCCACAGTGTCCAAAACTTTTGCTGATCTCAGACTGTTGACGGTAGTTACTTTTGTTCTTGACCTATGGAGGGAAAAAACAAGTGCTCACTCACCGTGAGACATGATATATGTATGGCCTTGCTTGACATGTCTGATTCCGAGATGGCGCAGTCGGATTGCTTTTGTCTCAGAGTTATTCTTAGCTTTGACAACTCGTTACAAACTAAAATACTGTGTTTAGTGAGTCTTCGGAGTTGTAATGGTTTGGCAATACTCGTTCGCTGGCTGCTCATCCTTTTGTCGGTCACAAACGAAGTCGTGTTTTACGGTCCATTTTATTGAGACTGAGTGGAATCTATCAAAGAGAATCCGCACCGATATAACTCACCTGCTATGTTGTAACACTGAAGTCCTCTGCTTAGGGACCAACGTTGCCTGCTATTATCCAGGCTGTCTAATGACGACATCTGACGTTGAGACTCGCATCGCTGTTTAGGTGTGCATTCGTTGGACATGGTTTTGGACTGTTTGGGGTCTAGCTAGTTGTTGCCTGCAGACAGAGGCCGCCTATCACCCGTCTTAGCGCTGCCTCAACCTGCACGTCAGCACGACTTTCTACAGTTTGATATGTTATCGTTCGCCTACAGATATATGCCAGGGATTGTGGCTGAGCAAATAGTGCTGGCGAGGCGCAGCGTGAGGCACACCTACGTGATATGTTATGGAGACGCTGTCAGTCCTTCTTCTCACAAGATGTCTCGCGAACACTCTCTGTCCTCTCATCTTCAGATTCAAGAGCAATGGCCGATCCACTTTCAATTACAACTGCTTGTATCACATTGATTGGCGCAATTGGGAAGACGACACAGGCTGTGACGAATTTTGTTCGAACGTGTCGCGATGCGCGCGAAGATCTCGCCGCTGTCAGCAGAGAACTGTCCGATCTGCGCATCGTGCTCGAACTTCTCATCGACGATACCGCCACCAAGGCCTCCTTGCCTGCTGCCTTCGAAAAACACGTATTGGCCCTTGTCGGGAACTGTTTGGGTGTGACAACGGAGATCGCGGGGGAGCTCGAGAATCACGATGGCCGGACTGGGCCAGCGCGGTGGGCGATGGGAGGCAAGGAGACTGTCAATCAGCTGAAAACGATGCTCGAGACGCACAAAGGCTCGTTGAACTTGGCTCTCGAGTTAGCGAACCTGTAAGCAGTATTACCGCAGCTTTCATGTTGTTATCGAGGTTGGTGTTAATCATTCGCAGTGTATCTTCCAAAGCGATCAAGGATGATACCGTTGTCATTCGCAACGATGCAGGTCTGATCAAGGAAGACACAACGAACCTCTTGCGACAAGTCTCCGATGTCACTCTACAAATAGCAAGGATTCGCAAAGCTATGGGCGCCAATCGACAGATCAAAGTCGCCAACAGCGATACCATTGACCTCTGGCTGGAATCCCTCACATCCTACGCTGAAAGCGTTTGTGGCGATTTGCTACAGGATTTGCCGCCAAACGCTCATGACCGAATGCTGCTTCCGGAGACTGAATTAGCAGGCAGTGGAATCGTCATCAGCAACGATACCATCGGAGACATCGGGCCGATGAAGGTTACCAAGGTACACCAACTCACGTACAACAACGGCATACACTACATCAGATCGAAGGGGAGTCATCTCATCGGTGTAGATGGAGTTTCCAACGTAGTCATATGGGATATACAGACCGGAAAGCAGTTGGGCACTCTGGACACCAAAAAGTCCCATTCATGGGATATTTATAAAATCAAAACAGCATCGATCTGTGGTCACGATTCAGAATACATCATACTGCATCAGTATAAAATAGGCGCCTCTCTTTGGGATTGGAAAAAGGGCAAGCGAGTCCTTGACGTATACCAGACTTACCAGGACTTTATCACACTCCACCCAGTACATCTTGACGGGAAAAGACTTGTCGTGTTCTGGCATGACAAACACTCTATATGGAAGTCAGAAAAGCCGAGATGGAAGCACGAAAAGCTGGCCGAGATTCCTGGGCCAGCAGAAATTAGCCGGATTGGAATATGGGGTAACGTCGCCGTCGCGCTGCTGAAAGATGGTAACGCAATCTGCTTGGAGACATTGACGGGCTCAGTCAAGGCCAAGAACTCGATCCTTCGACTTGGACAAGAAGACAAGTGCGACAACTTGGCGATCGGCCTCATCCTTATTCGGCAACCGGACGACGGACATTGTGTCTTATTCTGGATCCTAGATGTGCCCAATGGGTCTGTCATGGTCTGTTAGTATCCTTATTATAGGGTAGTTAGTTCGAACCGTAGGTTAACGAAGAGATTAATTGAACTATATGAATTTCTGTATAGGTATAAAAAGGAGGTTCTAACTATAGGTTAAGTTAGTTATAATAATTATAAATAAGGCCCCTAATTAGCCCTTACGTAGTTAGCTATATACTATAATTAAATTAGATTTTTAATTTAATTCTAACTTTTTTTTTTTTTTTATTAATTTACTTATTATAATTAGAGGTATAATTCAACCTTAAGCCCGTTTACTAAGTTATTTCTTTTTCTTTTTTTTTTTTTACTTTTTTTATATAACTTATTTTTTTATTTATATATTAACTTTTTTATTACTTATAAATTATTCTAACCTTTTATTAAGTACTACTTTTATAAAAGTATTAATAAGGTTATTATTTTTATTAATCTAACGTATTTTAAAAATCTCGCGTCTTTTATATAATTATTTAAGGGCTATAATATTAATTATAAGCCTCTTTTTTTTTATTGTTTTTAATTTAATAAGGTATTTATATAGTAAGTAAGAATTAGTATAAATAACCGTTAGGATTAGTAAAAAGTTAAGTTAATTAGTAATCTTTTTTAATATTATTAAAATTACGTAGGCGAGGTTAATATTATTAATTATACTATAGATTTTTAATATTAGGATATTTTTTATTACTTATTTATTTTTAGTTAATGAATAATAGATTATATTATTATATATAGTAAATTCGCTTTTATTTATATTCTTATTAGCTAGAATAATAATATATTTTAATTATAAAATAAAGTCGTTATTATTTATAAATAACTTATTAATAAAGACGTAAAGTTTATTAGTAGCGAGGTTAATTAGGTAATAAACGAGGCCTTAATTAAGATTTGTTTATTACTATTTAAACTACTTATTAAGTATTTTAATATTTTATTTATTTAGTTTTATAACCTGCGCTACTTTAGTATAGTTAAAAATTATTTTAGGTTAATATATACTTATAATATATACTCCTTGCGCGAGTTTAGTTTTATATTACTTTTTAATATTAATTACGTTTAAGTTAATAAGGGTAATTTTTTTACCTTACCCCTTTTATTAAAAAATAACAGTTTCTTTTTTAATTATAAAAATTCCGCTATTAAATATTAATAAGTTATTTATTATAAGGACCTTTTTTAGTTTTATTATAAGGCTTACTTTTTAAAGCTCTTTATTCTCTTTTTTTATAAAATTAATATTAAATAGGCTTAATATATCGTTAGTTTATATTTTAATAATTTTAAATTATTTACTTTTTTATTTAAAGATTAATAAGTACGGGTCGTACGTAAATATAATTATTAATAATTAATTAATATAAAAATCGTAGTATATAGCTTATTAATAAGTACCCGATTTTATAAGCTTATATAATAGTTTAAGTACTTTAATAATCGTACTTTTTAAGTACTTACTAGCTATTTCTTTTAGTAAGTAGGCTAGGATTTTCTTTATAAACCCTATAGCTAATTAAGTATAGGCCTAAGTAATATTACGGCTCTAAATTTCGTATCCTTTTTTTTATAATAATATTATTAATACTATTATTAATCGTTAATTATAGTGCTATATTATAAGTAATTAGGTAAATAGCGTTACTTTTTTAACGTCGCCGTACTCCTAAATTATATACTTAGATTTCTTATATAGTTAGGGTATTCTTTTTTTCTTAATTTTATATATTATTTATAATTTAAATATATAAAGACTTTTATATTTCTTAGGGTTATAGAGGATAAATTAATAGACCCCTTAATTATATAAAGTATTTATTTTAATAAGATTTAATCCTTTATATAGCTTTTTAATAGTTATAATAATACTTTTTTTACGTAGTTTAATTACTAATTCGAAATTAGCTTTTTTTTTTATTATATAAAAAGTATTAATTACTTTGTTATTAATAATAAATTACTACGTTAGGGCTTATTATTATAGTCTTTTGCGACGTTTTGCTAGTAGTATTAGTACTTTTTTAGTAATTTCTTTTTCCTTATTATTTATTAGTACTATTATAACGATTTTATTAAGGATAATTTTTTATACCTCTACTACTAGTTATATAGTTTTCCTTAGCTCTTTTTTTTTTTTATAAATTAGAAATTATTTTAATAAGATCTATATAATATAGTCTAACTATAGTAATTAATATTTTAAGTAGCTAGTTACGATTTTTCATAACTACGTAAGAGCGCTCGTTAATAAAAATTAATTTATATAACTTAGCCTATTACTAAGTAATTTTATACTAAATTTATATATTTAAATTTAGGGATATATTTAAATTAACCCCTATATTAGGCTTATTACGTATAGTAATTACTTCGTTAACTTATTTTTTTATATTTATTTTACGTAGTACTTATATTATTTTTTTAATTACTTAGGCTTATTAGCTTATATTTAATAATAATAGCGAGGCTAAAGTCGTTTTTAAATATACTTTAAATACTAATAGTATTAATATAAGACCGGTAGGTTTTATAATATTATTATAATATTTAAGTACTATCTAGAGGTATTCGTTATTAATAAAATTAGGATTTTTTTTTTTAATAATCCTAAACGCCCTTTTTAGTTATTAGTATACCCTTTTTACTTTTTTAATATTATAATACGCTTTTATAAGTACGACTTTTAGCTATATACTATAAGCTATTATATTTTTTCTAAATTTTATTAATTTAAAACTCGTATTAACGTCGGTTTTAATACTATTTAGCGGTCTTTAATATATATTAATCTAGCTTTTTTATAAGGCTATTTATATTATTTTTATTTATAAATCCCGAAAGAATTACCCTATTTAAAATAATATAGCCGCGTTAATTATATATAAGACCGGTTAACTATTTAAATAGAAGATATTAACAACGATTTCTTAATTAAAATTAAGCTTATTACGTAATTTAAATTTAAATCTATATAGGCTTTATATATTTATTTAGTATTAGTAATATATTTTTATTAACTACTCTAGTACCCTTATTTTAATATCCTTATTATTTAATTATTTTAAGAAGTTATATAGCCTCGTAATTAATAAGTACCTAAATCTCTAATATAGTTATTTAAGCTTATTTTTTATTAAGTAATTAATTAATTTCGTATTATTAATAAGCTTTATAAACGCGTACCCTTATTATTATTTAACTATTTTAAAGTGTTTATTATTAAAGATTTTATTTTTTATATTATTAAATATAATACTTAGTTAATCTATGTTTTTTAGATATAAGAGAAATAGAGTATTAACGAGTAGAATATAAAAAGTTATTATTCCGAAGTACGTTTTTATTTTTATTATACTTAGGGCGATAATTTCTTTACTTAGGCCGAAGTTAATTCTCGTAATACTTATTATTAACGTATTAAGTATTATTAATACGATTTTTTATAGTACTTAAAATTACTCTTTTTCTTTTATTAACTATTATAATACCTTAGTATTTAGGATAATTTTATAGAAATTATTTAGGCCGTACTTTTTGCTCGCATAAAATATTTATATAAGCTTAGTATTTAAGTAATTTAAGTAGTATAAAAAGGACCCCTCTAGCTATTTTTAGAATTACTTAGTACTATTTTTCTTTTTTAATATTAATAGAGGTAGTATCTTTTCTTTAAGTATTAAGAAAATAGAATTTTATATTATTAAATTCGTTTTTTTATTTATTTTTATATCCGTTATCTAAGGGACTTTCTTTTATTATTTATAAATAAAAGCCTGCTTATTAAGAGCTTTTATTACTTTTTATTTATTTAGTTTTATATATTTTCTAAAAGCTAATAATATAAAGAATAAGTAGTTAATATTATCGATTTTATTATAATTTAATTTATTAGTATAAGGGGCGAGATCTTTTTTATTTTTTAAATTTTTTAAAGAGGGTAGATATTTTAAGTTATTACTTTAGTTACTATTATTAAGTTCCGTATTCTTAAATCTGCTCTTATATATAATAAGGAATTAGCTAAACTAACGAGAGCTAGTTTTATTTTTTATTATTTTTAACTTTTTATATTATTTATATAATTTAATACACTTTTTTTTAAAGTAGTTATTTAACTAATATCTATTTTTTTTATAACTAAAATATTATTTTTTTTATTACCCTATTTATAAGTTAAATCTCTACTTATTTAACAAATCTAGGCCTCTTTATTAATAATTACTATATTTAGTTTTTTTTTTTTTTATTATATATTTAGTTAATTTAATATTATTAATAAGGGCCGTTATACTTTTAGAAATAAGTTTAGTACAGTATTTTTATTTTAATATTAAAGTTAAATCTTAGTTTTAAATAGAGCGTTTTATAGTTTTTAAGTACTTAATATAGGGTTATTTTTATTTTTAATACGTATTAAATTATAATATAAAAATATCTAATCTTTTACTTATTAATCCCCTTATTTAGCTAGGTTTTTATTAGCTTATTAATTTAATTAATAAGCTTTTTTAAGATTTTTACTTATAATTCTTTTTTATTATTTTAGTTATAAATATAAAAAAAATTGCTTATAGCTTAAATAGGAGCTTTAGATTTTTATTATAAGTCTCGAAGCGGCTTTAGATTGCGTTAATAATATTAAAAAAATTATTCTAATCGAGATTATATACCGCTTTATAATAATAATTAGAGGCTTTATTTACGAATATAATATTAATTACTAAATAATATTAATATTTTCTAATCCCGACTTTTTTATAATAATTATAAAATATTATTAGGGTTTTTTATAAAACCTCGTACTTCTCCCTAAAGTATAATTTTTTTTTTAAAAAGATTTTTTTAAGATTTATAAACTACTTCGTATTTATTATTATATTTTTAGTATTTATATACGATCCTTATATTATTACGTATTATTAATAACTTTAAGTTATTTATTTTTTTTATTAGCTAATTAGTACCGAATTTTATATTAATAATAACGACGAGCTATAAATCGAAATAAGTAAAATTATTAATTATTATACGTTTAGTACTATATTTTATTTTTATATATCTTTTTATAATAATAAATTATTATTAATAATTATAAAAAAGAAAACTAGGTTATTTACCCTTTTTTTAAATTCGTTAAAGCGATTATACGCTCTATTAACCTATGCCTAGTTTTATAATACGAATTCTTTTTTTATAATCGTTATTATTAAGATTTTATATAATTTTCGTAATTATAATTATATTAATAATACTCCTTATTTATAGAGGAATTTATTAACTACTTTTATAATTCCTAAGCTTACGCTTATAAACTATTTATCTAGCTAATAACTAAAGTTATTTACAATTTTATAAAATAGGGGTTACTCTTATAGCTCCTTTTTTTATAAATCTTAGTTAAATAGATTAATATTATATTAATTTGCTCGCCGTTAAGCTAATCTATAATTTTATATATTTACATCCCCTAATAATCTAAGTTAATATTTACTTATTTATAAAGGATTAGGATTCTATTTAGGATCGGGTTTTTTTTTTTTTTTTACCTTAACTTATTAAGGGTTATATTTTAGCTTATACTTATATTAATAGTTATTAGCGTATTTAATTTTAATAAGGATATATTTAATTTGCGCACTAGTTATAATAAATTCGTACTTTTACTATTTAATAAATTTATTAAAGTCTAAGCGATTCCCGTTTTTTTTTATTATTTTATTACTATTTTTATTTTTATTATTTTTAGCGATTACTATTATTTTTTTAAATTACTAGTTATTATACTTATTAAAATCCTCTTTTTTATTTAATATAAAAAAGTAAGCTTTAATAGCTCTTTTTTTAATAATAATAATAAACGTTTATATTATTATAAGAAGACGTAATAATTAGTTTCGGGATCTTTATTAGTTATTGATTTTAACTATTTTTTATATTTTTAACTTCTTAAGCCTCGTACTTTTTATAATTTTTAAATTTTTTTTTTTAATTTTTTTTTTTAGAGTAATATTTTAAAAAAATAGTTAAAAATAGATACTAAGTAGCTCGTAAAAAAGCTAAATAGGCTATTAAAAACTAAATAGGTTATTAAGTATAGTTAGTAAAGTTAAGCTCTTTTTTGTATAAAATTAAGGATTTAAAAAACTTATTAAAAATACCTATTACTTCGTTACTCGTACTAAATAGAGTTAATTATTTTAGAAGTCTTTTTTTTTATAGCTTCTTAATACTCTATTTTATATTTTTTAAGTAGTTTTTTTCGTAGCTTAATTATTATTAAGTAATTATTACTTATTAATAATCCTTTTTATTACTTAGTTAATTTTTTAAAATTAATAATTTCGCGCTAGGAACTTAGTATAAAAAAGGAGCTTTTTAATAACCCTCTAGAGGATTTTTTTTTTTTTTTTAGAGCCGTATTTTTTTAGCCTTTTTTTAAGCTAATTATAATTTTAATAAGAAGTCGTAAGATTATTTTAGAGTAGCTACCTTTTTTTTAAATTAATTTTTAAAATCCGTAATATTTTTAATTTAATATTATTAAAACTTCTAAATCTCCTCTTTTTTTATTAAACTATCCTCTATATTATATTCTTAAGTAATACTTAGGGAGTAGTTAAGGGGATTATAAAAAAATTATTTAAATTATAAGTTTTAAAGTCGTATTTATAAAATCTTCGTAATATTAGGCTTTTTTATATACTATAAATCTCTTAGTTTAATAACTTTTATATAAGTTCTTATTATATTTATTAAAAATATTTATATTTAGAAATCTTTTTTTTAATCATATAATACTTTTTTATATTATATTATTAAGTTTATTTATTATACTTATTAATTAAGTAAGTAATTACTACGTAAGTATTTTTTTTTATTAATTTAGCTAGTTAATTTCTAATTATAGGCCGGTTATAAAAAAGTTATTTAATAAAAAAGCTACTTAAAATAATAGTAAAAGACTAGTTATTTAAGTAGTTTTATTAATTAACGTAGTTTAACATAGTAAACGTTAACTTTTTATAAATAATAAAGGGTTATAATTATTTAATTCCGTATAGTATTTAAAAATTATTTCTTTTTTTATTTATTTTTATAAAGTTAATTAGTATAAATCTCCTATCTTATATAGTATTAAAAAGTTATCTTTTTTATATAGTAAGATATTTTACTAATTTATAATAATAGAATTTAATTACTAATTAGTATTAATATTTTTATTATAGGGTAATTAGTTCGAATTATAAGTTAATAAAGAGATTAATTAAATTATATAAATTTTTACGTAGGTATAAAAAGGAGGTTCTAACTATAGGTTGGGCTGGTTATAATAATTATAAATAGGGCCCCTAATTGGCCCCTGCGCAGTTGGCCGTATGCCGTGGTTGAATTGGACTTCTAATCCGACATGGTCATTGCTTGGGACATTGAGAAAGACAGGGTCACTCACTCTCAATATGGAGGTTACGTGAAGCAAGAACATGAGCAAGGAAAACCAAAAGGCTTCTGGCCCACGGCGTTTTTTGATCGTGGTGCGTTGATGACACATGGAGAAGGTATTGACTTTTTCGACTTCGCCATGGGAAGCAGACGGAGATATCATAATCCATTCCCACACAAGAAAGAACTGGAGGTAGCGAAGGAAGTGTGGTATGGTTTATTCGGCCGCAAGTACCTCAAGGTTCCTATCAATTTGGGACGGCAAGCCACCGTCAGTCAGTTCGAAGGAAAGTACAGAATTGCCGTCAGGGCTCCTGGGGGAGGTGTAGAGGTGTGGGAATGGGAACTCAACGAGGCTTCCCTTGAACAACAACGAGAACAAAAGAATACGACAACAAGGTCCATTGGCAGTTCGACATTGGCAGCTGACTCATGATATTTCGTGGATATTGAGATGCAAGTTTTGAGTCTTGGACTTTCCGTACATCAAGTAAGCAAGATACATTGTAGCTAATGTTGTGCCAAGACGGGGAGATATAACACCTTGTTGACCATCATAGACCCAAGTCAACCGCAGAGAACAGTAAAATGTAGTACAGGTTAACCCCTCTTTGAGTATGGGACGCCGGCCAAGTTACGAAGATGAAATTGTGGGAATATCTCGGTGCAAAGTGTGGAGTCTATCATGGCTATTGGTGGACCACGACTCCATCACCACATCCGATATGGTGTAGTGGCCAACATGATGCCCTCTCATCTCTTTGAGAGGTTAGGCATAGCCCCGAGTTCGATTCTCGGTTTCGGAAATTGCAGATTTATCATTTTGCTGTTTATGATTGCATGGAAGCTTCTAAGAGCTCGGTATGTATTTTTTTTGACGCATGGTACTCGTAATTAGGACTAAGTAGTCTTTACTTTAAGGTTGGAGTCGAGCGATGTTCGTTTTTGCTAATGTCTTTAGCGATCTCGATTCTTCCCTTCCTTTTCTCTTCCATCCACTTCAGAGATCTGATCAGGCCGGAGCAGTCTGAGACTAGCGAAGATGTGGCTCTGAACTTGCTCTAACTGCAGATAATGGGAGCTGTGAGCGACCGCGTTGACGAAAAGCATGCTTTATTAGATGAACGCTCTGGAAGTGAGAAGGATAAAGCCAATTGACAAGATGTAGCCACTGATTTTCATTTGTATTATTGGAAACACCGCTGGTATCTAGAAGTAGGTATATGACGAGGTGTCGTTCTTGGGCCCTCCTTTACCCTGCAACTCAACAGCATCGATGATGTAGTTGGCGCTCAGAAAGTCAGCATCTCCTTTCCCAATCACCCCAATCACAAGTGTGTTCTGTCCCGTCTTGAGCTCACTCGCAGGTACTTCCCAACTATACAATTCGCCGAACCCGCGATAGGCACCACGGGTTACGCCGCGAGAGTCGATGAGTGTCTCAGAGTTGTGTTAGCATATGAGCATGCCCAGATGGCATCCGTACGGGATTGCATTGATGATGATAACTTACCGGGGCCCCTGGATCCGCTCCTTCCCACTCGTTAATCTTGACACTAGGTCTGCCGCCTAGTCTTACGAAGCACGTTTTGTTCGAAGTATCACGACTGAACTACTTTACTTGAAACGAATGAGCTGACTTGACAGGAATCGGAGTTTGTTTTCAGTAGGCTATGTTCGGGGCCTGAATCATGGGAAAGCCTCATGGTAAGACCTGTTTCCGTGATAGGTACCCTCGTTCACATGGGTGCTCAGACTTGAGTGGGCTAGGTTTCTTGACGTGTCCCGGCAAGACTCTTGCTAGAGATTTACTTTGATAAATAGTAAACTTTCTCAAATATATCCCACAAGATCATGTGAGAGGCATTAATCATTCACGGGAGTTGTCATTTTCATGGAACGCTCAGCAATGAGTGAAGGGAAGGATCCGAAGAGGTCGCGCCTGCCACCGTCGCGGGTAGGTCATTCGCGTAAAGTGCGCTAATGCAGGGATACGTACTGCCACAGGGTGACAGGGCCCCAGTTGCGCTTAGTCATTCAGAGCTCCACCAAGATTTCAGGACAGCTTCGCGACTCCTTTTCCACTTGTCAGTGCTTCCAAGGGCACGAGGATCGTCATCTCTTCGCCAGCTTTCCAGTCACTCCTTTCAGCCACGATTGCTTCTGCTCAAAGACAACAGCTGCAAATCACATCTCGCACCATCAATCATATCGAGCTTCCTATACCATCCGCAAACATGACCCGCGCTCAGCAGACCATCTCTCTTGCGCTCCTCGTGAGCTCGGTACGACCCCTCCCTCCCTTGTGTCCAGAGCCATCCCACCTCTCTATGAAGCGTCTGCTAACCTTCAATCTTCTTTTGTAGCTCTACCTCGCTCTCTTCCTCCAGCTCATCCCGATTCCCGCCAAGATTCAGAACGATGTTGTCCCCGTTGTACGTAACCGCGATCGCAATCTCGAAGCAACCCCTGCGACCCGACCCAAGCTTGCTAACCTGTACTCCGTGCACACAGCTGCCCTTCTGGGCCCTGATCTCCTTTGGCTCCTACCTCCTCGCCAAGCTCGGATACAATGTCATGACCTTCAACGATGTGCCCGAGGCGCACAAGGAACTCATGGCCGAGATCGAGGAGGCCGTCGTCGACCTGCGGAAGCTTGGTGTCGATGTGGACTAAGGAAAGGACGAAATCCCAAGAGACCCACGACTCGATGTGAAAGCCGACCAGATAATATTGTAGGATATTTGGGGGATGTAGCTCGAGATTCTCAATGAAAATGGTGTGTCGACCTCTAGTACCTCGTTCATGACGTTGACGTTTTCCGCGCCCACCCGAGACTCGTACAACACGACCATCCCTGCCACGTATGCGATTGGAGGAGGCGACTAGAGAAGCGGCAAAGCTCGGTACGAATACTTGATATTGCGAGACTCAGAGCTGCGAAGGGTCTACACTCTGGTTAATGTCAAGTTTTCATGACTGTATACTGGCACAAGTAGCAGCTATCAATGCCTGGTGGACGCTTGATCATCGGATTCCTGTGACCTATCTATCGGCTTTCAAGTTGCTCAGGATAACTCTATGTTAGACCTAGACTTTCGATTCAATGAACACCACAACGCCGCGACACGACCGTTATTGCAACAAGTCAGTCATTATGATGAGCCTCACGACCACGACCATTGTTTCCGGTAGCGCTCTAGACCCAAGTGGGAGTAGAATCGCTCATTTACGCGAACAGATTGAGGAGCCTGTGACCATTGCTGCATACTTTTCTTGGTGCGATTGAAAAGAATTTGTTAAACATGACCGCCTTCCTCGCCGTTGATCTCGCCAAAGTGCCTGTCCGCCAGTGCAAGAAGTGCCCATGAACACCTGCTACCTAACGGCGGTATCTCTCTGGGCTAGCAGGCCTGCTATGTTTGTCTTTGCTCCGTCTTTAATAGCCGACATCTATCAGCTATACACGAGGCACCTTATTGAATCAAATGATAAGCTGGATGAAAAATTGCTTGTCTCTGGGACATGTCGTGATGCCCGCCAGCCGATTGAATATGGACTAGAACTCGGCAAGCTGGACGACTTCCTTCCAGTCCGGAACTGTGCACTGTCATCCTGACCATACACAGACAACGGGATACCACTTCGAATGTAAGCTCACTTAAGCTTCTTTTCGGTGTACCGACGAGTGCTGACTTGGTGAGCTTGCTCTGATAAAGAGCAAGCGCTAGAGCTCAGGGTCTACATCTTATTCCTGAACCCCGATAGGCGCTCCAGTCGTCCAAATGGCCTGATTTGGAGATGAGCCTGAAGCATATTCAAACCATTCGTCTGCTCGAACTCGCTTTCTAGCCTATTCCCATGCGCTAACAAGTTCATCTTCGTCAATTGTTGTAAATGCTCTGATCCCTGCGGGGTGCGGAGGGGTAGCATGACGCAAACTGACCCCTGAGAGCAACGTCGGGCCAGAAGTTAAGCTTCCCGACTGCTCCACTCACCGATAAAGCTCCCAGCATAATCTTGCCGTTGATGACAGACTGATCATCCAGCGACGGACCCTCGGGCGGGGTGGCACAGGCAACGTTGGCTGAGCAGGGCGTCCGGCCGGTGACCGGAGCTCGGAGGAGTTTGCCGGCTAAAGACGGCATGTTGCCGAGAGCTTGAGCCATCTGCTTTCGCACAGCTAAGAAGTGAAGCATCACAGCAATCCGCGTGTCTCCAACAACCCGTTGACCAACTATCATCACCCTTTGCGAAAACATCGCCATCATGCCCAAGCCACCCTACCCCCTGCATCCCTCGGTCATCGACCGCATCAACCCCGAGTACAAGGACTTTTACAACAAGTTTGTCTTCGATAAGCAAGTTGTTCACCACCAGCCCATCTCCGCGTCTCGTGCAAGCGGCACTCTGATCCCGGGCGCAGGCCCTAAGCTCGAGGTCGCCAGCTCAGAGGATTTCACCATTCCGAGAAAAGAAACGCGCGGGCGTGACATCCTCCTGCGAGCTTTCACGCCCTTCGGAGAAAGGCCGGCCAAGGGATGGCCACTATGCTTTTGGTTCCACGGCGGCGGTTGGGTCTTGGGCAACATTGACACGGAGAATGTCATCGCCACGCACCTCTGCAACCGGGCGAAATGCGTTGTTATCTGCGTAGACTATAGGCAAGTAGAGTCCCGTGGCACAAGACGGCACTGCAGCCTGAAATCCGAGTTGCGAGAGGACACACTAACCTTGACAGACTCGCGCCAGAGAATCCCTTCCCTGCAGCCGTCGACGACTGCTGGGAGTCGGTCCTCTGGGCCATCTCCACAAATGGCACCGAGAAGCTCAACCTTGACATCTCGCGCATCGCAATCGGAGGCTCATCAGCAGGTGCAAACCTCACGGCCATCATCTGCCAGCGCGCAACTAAGCGCCCAGACTTCCCGACCGTGGCAACACAGCTGCTCTCTGTGCCCGTCGCAGACAACACCGCCACAGTGGACTCGACGAAACCAGAGCACGCATCGTGGAAGGAGAACGAATTCACGCCCGCCCTGCCAGCGGAGAAAATGATATGGTATCGTTACCATTACCTCCCCGACAAGGAAACTTGGGCGCACCCCGAGGCAAGCCCGCTTCTGTGGGAAGGCGAGTGGTCCAAGTTGCCTCCTGCTGTTGTGGTTGTTGGTGAGCTTGATGTTTTACGAAGTGAGGGTGAGGCTATTGGGAAGAAACTTCAGGATGCGGGCGTTAAGACGGATGTGCATATCATGAAGGGGCAGCCGCATCCGTTCATTGCTATGGATGAGGCTTTGGAAGATGGCAGGAGGGCCATCACGTACTTTTGCGACAAGCTTATAGAGCTGTTGTGAGGGAAGGCTCTGAAGATATCACTCAGATTAAATGAGATTCAACAAAACAACGTCAACCTCATTCCTGATCTGAATGAGACCAGTCAAACTTCACGGAAGGCATGCTTGTTGTCGAGGTGATGGATTCATCGTGATAGATCCCCCTCACGGTTACTGCCGACATGGAAAGGATGCTTAACCACGGTCTTAAAGGCTATAGACGTTTCATTGCACCATTGTTCTTATCATACTTTTGAAATTCTCGAAGGATTTTACATCCAAAGTATTTCTTACTTCTTTTTACAGGACAGCTATGCACTCAATCTCCACATCGACATTTAGTGGAAGAGTCTTGACCGCCACGCAACTTTTGCCATGTCAGTCAGCATTTTCGATGGGATCAACGGAGGCGCCACGCTCACGTTCTAGACGGCTTAATGTCACCCCAATAAGTGCAATAAACTTCATTCATCGCAGCAAAGTCATCCATGTCCGAGAGGAAGACGTTCACCTTGACCACCTTGTCAATCGTGGTACCAGCGCCTTCCAGTACCGCGGTCAGGTTCTTGATGCATTGGTGCTGAAGTTTCCAGTTAGCGATGAGCAACATCGGTGTCCAATTGAGATGGCAGAATTGGGTTGCAGATTAGGGAGTGCTGCATGCACATACCGTGTGTGCCTGAACGTCACCGTCGATGATTTTCATTGTCACCGGGTCCATGGGAACGGCGCCGGAGCAGAAGACCATGCCATTGGCAATGATGGCTTGGCTGTAGATGCCGGGCAGGGGCTTGGGGGCCTTATCTGTGAGAACGGGGGTCTTTGGGGAGGACATGATGATCGGTAAGCGTGTATTTCGTGCTGGAATGGTTTGAGTTCGGTTCTGAATGGTTTGTTTCTACATGAGCACAAAGGTTGATCTCACTGCCTCTCCGTCGACCAACACGCAATTGAGATACCATCATGAAAGCTACTAGTCATTCACAAACCCCATCGATAATCCATCGCACTCATCGTGAGCGTCATCTTCTCTGCGATAGGAGTACCCGTCGAAGTCTCCGTTCTCGGATGAGCTTGAAATGCCCGCGGAGAGTTGCGAGGGATCGTCCTATCAACCCCGCAATCCTGAGGTGAGCGGGACTGCAACGTTTCAACACCCCGGATAGCTCACCCTTATCTTCTCTAAGCATTCACTTGTGGGTCGCTTCGGAATCGGATTTCTGTCCCCAAATCTCGGGTTTGTTTCTAATACGGCCATTACTCCATTCAGTTCCTATTACGAGATGTTCGCGCCTTGAAAGGTGTTGAATAGGAGTTGCACCCCCACGGGTCGCTCATCACCGGCCTTCGTCGTGAGGGCTAGAGGCTGCTTGCACGGCGCTGCAGTTCTCGTCGGCTCGCCCCACTATGATGGAGTTGCTGCAAGCTTTGTGGATTGCGGGGTGCATATTGATAAATGGGCTGCTATGCCATAGGCCATCGGCATCCATCCTTATCAAGCCGTACACCTCAAATGCAGATATGGCATGTTTGCTTTCAGTGGCACTCTTGAGCAAAGACTTCCTAGCAAGAGGTCCAGCACAGGATACGGGTAGGCCAAGCCATGCGCAGTGATTGAAAGCATCCTGACGTGGGAGCTAAAGCGGAGGAGTAATAGGTAGTTGACATCGAGCCCTAGAGACCTCCTGTGCGTGGTACCAGTCCTGGAAACTAGCGTACGTCCACACCAGGGTGTTCGATTTTGGACATCTGAGGTCGTTGCTTCTGTAGACTCTAGGTATCGTAACGCGATTCGTGTGGAGATTCAAATTCTCGTCGCAACTCCTCGCCGACCGTGAGCCGACATGGAGGCTAGAACTCACCCCATCGAAAAGTTCCTTGCTGACGGATGGCTGAGATGGGACAACCGAAGAGAGCAGGATAGTGCGCGTGGTTGTATGACCCCGCTTGGAGTATCACTCTTATCTCTGGCCACCAACGAGCTTGTCTCTCATCTTTACGAACCAGCCACAAGGATGCTAGATGACCGGGATGAGAGATACGTCAATCAGGAAAAGGATATGCTGGATCAGCGAATGCTACTGCAGCACACTCCATCCGAAGCTTATGTGTGTCGTATGTGTCTACTAAGGCACGGACAGCAATGTCCCAGTTGGGGTATTAACTGTAACCTTGCATTTTTCTCCCTCTCCCTCGCGGTTTGCACCACTTGAGTCTCCCAACCACGATTCTTGAACTTTCCTTTCGCATCGTTCCTGTGGTGTTAGCCATAAGGGCCCGTGAGACGCACAATGGAGGCCACAAAGGACAACAAGATCACCCCAGCGACACGCGCTGAAGGATCACTTCGCGATGGATCCGTGGATGGCGAGAACGTCAAGAAGAACGACTACGACGACGATGTGGTTCAAGTCGTCGACAAAGCCGCCGAGAGGGCCCTCTGCAGAAAGCTGGACCTTCACATCTTGCCTGTGCTAGCCGTGATGTGTAAGTAGCCTCTCCCGCTCTCAATCGCGAGAGGGTGTGCTTGTAGTCGCTCACACGCAATTATTCGACCAGACCTGTTCAACGCACTCGATAAGGGAAACCTAGGCAATGCCGAAACCGACGGCCTGAGCACGGATCTCGGCTTCAAAGATGGCCAGTACAATCTCATCGTCAGCATCTTCTTCGTGCCCTTCGTCGCGGCCGCGCCGTTTGTGGCCCTCATCGGCAAGAAATTCGGCCCGGCCGTCGTCCTCCCGATTCTCATGTTCACCTTCGGCACGATGACGATGCTTATGGCTGCCGCGCAAAACTTTGGCGGTGTCTTTGCATTGCGATGGTTCCTCGGCATGGCAGAGTCGGCGTTCTTCCCACTGGTCATCTACTATCTCACCACCTTTTACCGTCGCGGTGAGCTTGCGCGACGGCTGGCTGTCTTCTACGCCGCTTCAAACATCGTAATTGCCCCTCTACTACCTATGACGTACTCGTGGGCTTCGTGATTGACATATCGTAGGCAAACGCATTTTCCGGTCTTCTGGCATTCGGCGTGTTCCACATCACCAACACCAAATTGCATCCTTGGCGATGGCTCTTCATCATTGAGGCCACTGCCACCATCTTGTTCTCCTTCTTTGCGTTCTGGTATCTTCCGCGTAGCGCTGCGGAGGCGAAGTTCCTTACGGAGGAGCAGAAGCGACTTGCCCACCACCGCATCCGAGTCGACAGCTCATCCGTGGTTGGAGAGAAGATGAAGATCCGAGAAGCAGCCAAAGTTTTCAAGCATCCGACGACGGTAGGCATCTACCCCTTCTTCGGCTTCTTTCACTTTGACTTTCTGAAAAGAAGGCTCTTACTGATTAACTCTGACACAGTTCGGCTTTCTCGCCATCGAAATCTGCCTTGGCGTTCCCCTCCAGAGCGTTGGTCTCTTCATGCCCCAGATCGTGCAACGCTTGGGATACAGCACCATCAAGACGAACCTCTACACAGTGGCCCCGAACGTCAGCGGTGCTGCCATGCTTCTCATCCTTGCTTTCCTCTCGGATTGGCGACGACTTCGGTTCCCATTCATCGCCTTGGGTTTCATGCTCACGTTCATCGGCTTCATCATCTACGCTGCCATTGACGATGTCGAAGCTGAGATCAAACTCGCATACTATGCTTGTTTCATGATGACTTGGGGAACTTCAGCACCGAGTGTGCTTCTGTCGACTTGGTACAACAACAATGTTGTCAACGAAAATCAGCGTAAGTAAAAACCAAGAAAGTTCTGGTTCTCTGATAGAGACTGACATCGAGATTGCAGGTGTACTTCTGACTTCAATCGGTGTTCCACTGGCCAACCTCATGGGTCTTGTGAGCAGCAACATCTTCCGCAAGCCAGATGCTCCAAAATACGCGCCCGCATTGATCACAACGGCGGCATTCGGCGTGGCCGGTGCCTCATGCGCGCTTGCTCTGGGATTCTTCATGATGTGGGACAACCGAAAGAGAAACCGGGCCGAGGGTGTTACCTTGACTGCTAGTGAAGTCCCGACATCGAAGTTGGGCGATGGACCTAAGAGCCCTCACTTCCGCTGGTTCTTGTGAGAGCGCAGTGATGATTCGATATGGCGAGCTATATTATGTCTCAGCAAAGTGTGAAAACCGGTCAGGTTGAGATACCCACTGCGAAGCTCACACGTATATATGTTATCAAGTCTGTATTTATTATCTAGACTCAACGAACTCATGCCTGTTTACTGTTTGGCTTGCCTGCACCACCGTGAGATATTTGGATGCGATTTGCTTTGAATCATCGCGATGGTGTTTGGAAAAACGTTCAAATAGAGTTGTGGTGAGTAGACCATGATTGTGACAGGAGCTGAGTGTTTGGGGCATGATTAGCTTTGAGGCAAAGAGGCTTGGCCGAACTACTAACCAGAAAGGGTCAAGAATTCCCGTTTGAGGCTTTGCTGCAGCCTGGGCGATCACACCACACATCGAGGAGCTGCGGATACTCAGCTGAACAAACGACCCACACACTTCTGGGAGGGGACTGACCAGAATATCACACCGCACTTCACTTCTGCTTGACCATACTACATCACAGATTTGATGGTGCAGCAGAAATTTACCTCAGTTGGCACAAGAGTCCCTCTGAGATCCGATAGGTCTATTCAATCCTTCTAATCCTTCCGTGGCTCACCACTTCTGGTCTGGTTTGGCAACAGGCATCCACGCAAGTAGCTTGTGGTAGACTGTCAAAAATGTCTGGCCTCATCGAATACTCTACGGCGCAAGCTGGAAAGACTCTTGAAGTCGAACAACTCTCGCCGGATCTCTTCAAGCTGTCATTAACCAGAGACAACAAGTTCAATCTCTTCTCCGAGGCCATTGGCAGCTTAGATTCAGGCCGCGATGAAGCCGATCTCATTCTCCGCAACCTCCAAGCATGGTCCGCAGAAGCTGCGGAACGCTTCCAGCGACGCACCTCAGATGTTATTCTCGACACTCCTTTCCGGCTGCTTTGCTCGAGCCCAAGCGGGATCCCATTCGACAGTCGTTTTGTGATCCGACAATTTCTAGCCATCAGTTACAGTTGGCACAACCCGAGTTGGCCGGGGACACCTCAATCGGTTCCAGAACCTGGAGGGGTGTGGCCAGTTGGCAAGCGCTTTGCCGACGCAATCCTAGAATTACGAGGTCATCTACGTGAGGGAGTGTGGATAGACCAGGTCTGCATCAACCAACGCGATGAGTTCGAGCAACAAAGAGCTATCGCATCGATGGATGTTGTTTACAAGTCTTGCCGCAAGCTGGTCGTACTTCTGGAGGATGTCGAGCTCACCAATGACGAGGCTGGAATATTTGAACTCTACGATGGTTATCGGTCTCCGTATGTACTCGAAAAAGGTCCGACCGACGGCAGGGAAGTTTCGCTGCTCATCTCGCTCTACGATAAAGTGGCCGCTGCGCGGTGGTGGCAGCGTTCATGGTGCTACCATGAATTCGTTGTTGCTGAGCCTTGGAGTGATAAACGACATCAACGAGTCCACAATACCGTTTTCGTCCTGGGACTTGGCAAGGATAGGACTGTGACAGTAGAGTGGACTACACTGCACGCAATCTTGGCAACAATAACAGTCCAACTCGGCCATCGGAATGAACGGAGCGTCTACCTCAACCCAATCCTTTCCGGGTTCGCAAATCGGACGTCTCCTCGATTTGATAACCCAGAAGGCAAAGCCGGCGTGATCAGGTCCAGCTTCATGGCGAAATTCAACGCCATCGCCCAGACGGGATGCCTGATGCCCGGTGACAGGCTTAGCGTGTGTCTCAACCTTATCGGACTTGGTCTGGCGTTCTTCAGATCTGAGGAGCCAACAGTAGACGAAGTGTACTTTCTGGCGGTATTGCTGGCTCTAGCAGTAGGCGAAAAGATGCCCCTTGCTTTCACCAACATGGATCCCCTGGCATTCCACGGAAAGGGATCATGGCTTGCTCGACCTATCACGGCGGCGGACACCACGCTCAACAAGTTCACATTGGGCGGCGTCAAAGGGATCCATGCTGTGGGCTTTAACAAGATAGAAATCGACATGGTCTTTTTCAATCGTGGCGTATTGTGGATTTCGGAGCAGGAGCTTCGGCGCACGTATGCCATATTTCCAGATATTGTACGGAATACTCCTCCGCCGCTCAAAGCGCAGGTCAAGATGCCGGAGTTCCAGGCTGAAGAGGATATGGATATGCCGCGACGACGGTTCCTTGCTGCTGTGCTGTCGAGTGGGCCAGACTTGCTGAAGCGGCTTTGGGTCCAGCTCAATCGTGAAGTGGTGAAGTGGAACTATAACACGGGCATCTTTGCAGACTTCAAAGTCAACGAGGATCTCCTCCCCAACGCGAAAGATTTGCTCAAAGCCTTTGCCAAGAGCGATCGGGGCGGAGTTGGCAGTGAAGACCAAATTGCAGTCGAAATTGCCACGGAATTTCTGACTTGGATTACGGATCCTCGATCCATCTACTGGATTTCGACGATGGCCTTGCGCCTTCCGTGTGCACGCGATGGCAAATCCGCACTATTGACGGGCTTCAGCTTCACAAAGAACTTCCGAGAGAGTGATATCGACACTCGAATGCGGGTGGCAGTGCCTACAGATCTGCTGCATGAAGACTGCGCATGGATGAGGGCTTGGTTGTTGGTGCCGGCAGATGACGAGGATGAAAAGGGGGCTTGGAAAGTCGCGGGTAAGACGTTGCTTCTGGGCGAACCAGATTTATATGCGGATCTGAACGTGGATGAAGAGGATGGGTTTTCGGATGCATTCAGGAGCCTGCATACTAGACAGGTCATCGTAGGTTGACCGTGGTGATCAACGACACAACAGCTTTACCCACACGTCTTGGGCTTTTTCACCCAGGAAAATATTGGAAGATAAGAACAGCCTGATAGTTTCTATATCCTTGCTTTGCTTCTGTAGTAGCGTATGGGCCTTGGCATGTTCCTGATGGGCGTCTTGTACAAGCTTTCGGAGCTCGTGAATATTTTTACTCAGCGGGCTGGGGAAACTTATTTCGAAGCTCGGACGGAAGATGTCCAAGCGATTCCGAGACGAGTCGATTGCACGCTGACGATTACCGGGGTTATGAGACGAACGAGACTCAGGAGGGAAGTAGAATAAAGATGTTGATTGAAATTGAGAATTCATACATGGTGTTATGTATCGTGTTAGATTCTTTTCATCACACTCAGGGAAATAGAGTCATTACCGAGGGTGGTACGGGGCAAGGGTATCCGCTTATGAAGATAAATCAGGACAGTGGGCGAGGGCGAGGACGTTGAGGTCGAAGATGCCGAGGACGTTTGACAGAAAAGAAGAACTTCGACTTTCTGGGGGTGAGGGTTGATAAGGAGGCCATCTGAACTTAGGATTAGTGCTGAAAAGGTTTGTGATCCGGATTGATTATATGGGGGGGGGGGGGGGTAACTCTATCAGGGACTGGATGTTGAAGAGGGTGAGAATGATGTCAGAGAGAAGAAGGTGGTGGTGCTTTATTATTAGGTTGAAGCTTTTCACGTTGTGCAATCCTCCGGTTGCCTTCACTGCAGCACCGAGGGCGTGTTCGTGGCTATAATGCTGGCGCTTCCTCACAGAGTGTGGGCGAATCTCATAGAGTGTGGACGAATGCGTGAAAACTACAAGCGAAAGCCGCAGTCCCAAAAAGCCATTGGGATATTGTGGTTATCTCGGGCCGTCCATCGAAAATCTGGCGCTTATATGGTTTGAGCCTGAAAGCTGGTTGTGTGCCAACGCCAGTGTTTAAGACGGAGCCATGGAGTTGCTCGTGCTTTATCAATCCTTCATGAACTCCCGCTCGATGCATGTTGATTGGTACCGTCCATGACAGGGAAGCCAACATGACATTTCGAACTGTCATTCGAGACCTGTCAAGCCGGCTCATCGGGGTGGGGCAAAGAACAGTGCGGTCGGATGCTCTCTTTGAGTTCGGTTTCATTCATGAGAAATAACCTTTGTCATCTCGACTCCAATAGCCTATCAAGCGTTGTCGATTAGTTTGGCTTGTGCATACCGGGTCCTCGGACCCGTATTCGAATTCACATCGCTCTCCGAAAGCAACTTTGCTTCTAAAGAGCTAAAATCATCTCGAAATCATTGACTTTCTGCGGAATGAATGCCTCTGGCTGGCGACGTGTTGAAAGTCCTAAAACGGCAACTAGTCGCGACCTCCCTAGCTTCACCGGCTTTGCCGGCAACTCAACCCATGCTTGAACGTCTAAGAGGACACGGACCTTGCATATAGATATAAAACGTTCAGAAAGAAGAGGTGATGGGGATGCGGAAGATACGAATGCCTAGCAGCTAATCAGGAATACGACTGTGGACATCAACAACCTCAACATGACAGAAACTTATCAGTCTACCATTGTCCCCGACGGCAATCGTGCTACCAAAGATATCTCCAACCTCTACAGCAGAGTCGATCACTCTTTCGCTATTAAAGGAAATTTCCAAGGAAAACCACTCGTCTCCTCATGGGATCCCACCATCCAAGAAACTCTCTCCTCGCTTTTACGCTGGACGGGCTCCTACTCAGCCGAGTCGCAGGAGCACTATCTCAAGTTTGCGCGTGAGGTTGTGGTTCCCCGTCTCAACCCGCCTCGCGCGGCCGACTGGCCGCATTACATCGGAACGCACAACCATGGGCCATACGAGCTAAGCATCGCCTTTGCGCCTCATAAAAAGGCCAAAGTACGGTTTTCAGTACAGCCGCTGGCCGAGAGCCATGTGGTCGATGACCCCCTAGGGCAAAAGGATCTACGAAAGAAATGTGAAGATTTCGCGTCTGCATGCCTTGCAGACCGTGATCGACTGGATAACTTTTTCGACTCAATCTTCCTCACTGAAGAGGAGCAGGCCGGGCTACTTGAGAAGCATGCTGGTCGCAGTGACGCGGCCGGTGCGCTGCCTCAGCAAAATTGTTTCGTTGCGTTCGATCTCGAGCCCGTTGATAGCGGCAGCCCGGCTGTTAATATGAAGCTGTATTTGTTTCCGCAGCTCAAAGCTCTTGCAACAGGCAAGGACCTACTAGACGTCACAGAGTCCATTCTGAGACGACTTGCCGGTGGTGATAAGGAGCTGCTAGCATCCTGGCAAATGGTTCGATCATTTCTTACCTCTGATGGCAAGGATAATCTCATACATTTCCTTGCCATCGACTGTCTGGGGCCCCAGATGAAGCCTCGATTCAAAGTCTACACCCACACACATGTTAACTCGCTCGCCTCAGCCCGTCGTGTCATCAATATGGGTGGTCGTGTCCCCTCACCGAAGTATCTAGATACTCTCTGGCCCCTCCTTATGGATATGGAAGACGTTTCTCTGACTGATAAGTCAACATACCCACTTCCTGGCACCCCCCTGTTTCTGGCACCCACAAAAACGCGAAAATCCACCACAACCCAATGCCCACCCCCAACCTCCTTTTATCACAACATTTTCAATTCGCGTCCAAATGGGCTCATCTTTTGCACATGTCTTCTTCTATATATAATGCCTCAATATACCGAAGATCAGCTTCGTCAGGCTCTCGAGGA